AGAGTACTGAGCTCAATTCGTCCACCCACGCCCCCGAGGCCTTTTCCAGCCTTGTTTTCAGCCCATTCAGTATGATTCGGTTGGTTACTTCGACCTGGCCGTTAGCCTACGGATAAGCAACAGATGCAAAATGCTGCTCGATTTTCATGTCTTCACACCATGCCCGGATCCGCTTGCCATTGAATTGAGTGCCATTGTCGGAGATTAATACTTTAGGAACGCCGAATCTGCAGCAAAAAATGTTGTATAAGAATTTGATTACTTTCTCCTCCGTGATATTTGCCAAAGGTTCGGCCTCCACCCATTTTGTGAAATAGTCTACCGCCACGATTAAGAACTTCCTTTGCCTAGTTCCTTGCGGCATTGACCCCACCAGGTCAATCCTCCACTGGGCGAATGGTATAGGGGCACTCATCGTCGTCATCATTTTTGCCGGTTGGTGAATAAGTGGACCATGCTTTTGGCACTACAAGCACTTCTTCACCATCATCTTCGCGTCCTCTTTCATCGTCGGCCAGAAGTATCCTGCCCTCAGAATTTTTGCAACCAAGGCTACAGATTCGCTATGTTCACTGCAACATCCTTCATGCGTTTCTATCAATACATATTGGCCTTCCTCCTTAGTTACGCAGCGTAAGTGGGGTCCAACGTATGACCGCTTGTAAAGAATGCCTCCTTGCTCGAAAAATCTCCTCACCACCTTTATCGCCCCTTCTTTCAGCTCCTTTAAGATCGGAGCTCTCCAATCCTCCACCTCTTCGATCTTTGCCACTTCCGCCTCGACCTCACTCTTCTCGAAGTGTAATAGAGTGACACTTCTACTCCGACAGTCCATCAAACTTTGAGCAATTTTCGCTAGCAAGTCTGCTCGACCATTCTCTCCTCGAGGGATCTGTATAAGCTCGAACGACTCAAACTCCTCCTTTAGTTCTTCATCTCGTCTACATATTTCTGCATCTGATCCTCCTTAACCTCAAATCCTTCCTGGAATTGCCCGACCACCAATTGGGAATCGGAGTGTACCAGCACCTTTCGAGCTCCTCCCGCCATGGCTAACCGCAGGCCTTTGATAACTGCCTCATACTCAGCCTCATTATTTTTAAACCCCACTTTGGCCGCAAACTCCAAATTATCGCCCTTAGGATAAACAAGGACAATTCCTAATGCAGCCCTACTTCTGGCCACAGACCCATCCGCGAATAACTGCCACACTCCTCCAAACTCCTCATCAACCTTAGTGCCTTCTTGAATAAAATCTGCCAACACCTGCGCCTTTATGGCCCTCCTCGGCTCATACGATAAAGTGTATTCGCTCAGCTCAACTACCCATTTTACTAGTCGACCAGAGACCGATGGCCGACTGAGTGTTTCCCCTAATGGCATGTTCTTTCGCACCTTCACTTTATGGTTCAAGAAATAAGGCCGCAATTTTTGAGAAGTTACCACCACAGCTAAAGCACATTTCTCGATCTCCGAGTACCTCACCTCTGCTCCCTGCATCACCTTGCTTACGTAATAAACAGGGAACTGTGCTACTCCTTCTTCTCGCAGCAGCACCGAACTCACAGCCCTCTCTCCGATGGAAATATACAGCACCAATTCTTCACCTTGTACGGGTTTAGCCAACAGGGGAAGGTTAGCCAGCACCCCTCTAAACTCTTCAAATGCCTTTTGCGCCTCTTCTATCCACTGAACTTTCGAGCTCTTTTTCAGTGTTTTGAATAATGGGCCACTTTTCTCCGCCACCTTCGATATGAAACGACTCAGCCCCGCAATTCGACCAGCTAAGATCTGTACTTCCTTAACATTCATCGGTGGCTTCATCTCCATTACGGCTCGAACCTTCTCAGGATTCACTTCAATACCTCTCTTGGTCACCAAGTAACCCAAGAATTTTCCCGACCTCACCCCGAAAGAGCACTTAGTTGGATTCAATTTCATCCCATACCTCCGCAATGTTGAGAATGTTTCTTTCAAGTCTCACACATGATCCAACTCCTTCTTGCTTTTCACCAACATATCATCCACATACACTTCCATGTTCCTTCCTAGTTGCTCCTTAAAAATTTTATCGACCAAACTCTGATACGTGGCGCCCGCGTTCTTTAGGCCGAACGGCATGACCACGTAACAATATGTTCCTCGACTCGTTACAAAACTCACCCGCTTCCTGTCTGCTCTCGCCAAGGGAATTTGATGATATCCCTGGGAGGCATCCATCAGGCTCAATAGTTCGCACCCCGCCGTTGAGTCGACCAGTTGGTCGATTCTGGGCAGTGGGTATAAGTCCTTTGGGCATGCTTTGTTCATATCACGAAAATCAATGCACATCCTCTATTTTCCCTCCGCCTTCGACACCATCACTGTATTCGACAACCATTCGGGGAACTGGATCTCCTTGATATGCCCTGCCCCCAGTAGCTTCTCGACCTCCTTCTCAATGATTTTGTCCATCTCCGGCCCATGGTGCCTTCTTTTCTGTTTCATCGGCCTCACATTGAGGTTGATGTTCAGCCGATGCTCGATCACCTCCGCACTCATCCCTGTCAGCTCCTCCGCTATATAGGCAAAGATGTCAGTGAACTCCCTAACCAGATAACTTAATTTGGGCCAAGATTAAATTCGGGTGACTTTACGATAGTGGGCAGGAGAATCATTGACTTTGGAGTGCTGAAGGGGGCTTTTAATTCTCCATGTGAGCTCTTTGAAGAATTTGGGAGATGCAATGTTGTTGGGTTAGCAACAAACCAACCTTAGTATAATTGATCTCCATTCCTATTGAATTCGTGATTTGTGCATAACGAGCTCTTCATTGATCAGCCTCGACCGAATAGGCTCCTCCAGGTCCTTCCCGATTCTGAATTTCCTCTCCTCACACCCCTCGATCATCTGAATCACCTCAACTTCTCCTCCTGGCTGGATATCCATTTTCTCCTTACCCTTCTCCATTCCCTGTTTATCCTCTTTTGACCTCGACCTACCTGGTCGATTAACCTCCTCCTCCTTTGACTTGGCCTGCCTCTTCGCCAGTTGCTTGTTATTAATCACCGTTGTTTGATAGCAGCTCCTTGAAGTGAGTTGATCCCCAACAATATCCCCTACGTTTTCGCCCACAGGATACTTGATCGTCATGTGGTACGTGGATACGATCGCCTGGAACGCATTCAAGCTCGTCCGCCCCATAATGATGTTATAAGATGATTCAGCTCCTACGACCACAAACCTCACCATACACAGCTTCCTCAGCTCTCTTTCTTCCAATGCCACCGGCAAGCTTATCTCGCCCATCGGCATCACCTCTCTTCCATTGAAACCATAAAGTGTCGTGGTCACCGGTTTCAACTCCATATTCAACTCCTTATTAATTTGCACAAAACAGTCATAGAACATCACATCTACCGAACTTCCGGTATCAATAAACACCCTCTTCACGTCAAAGCTTGTAACCTCCGCTGTTATCACCAAAGCATCGTTGTGCGGTAGGACCACTTCCTCGGCATCCTCCGCCTTAAAACTTATCACCGGCATACGAGCCGTAATCCCCACCTCCTCTCTTTTCCTCTTCACAGCTCGAGCATGCTCCTTCCTGGCCCTGTTCGAGTCACCGTCCATTGGCCCTCTGGAAATCATGTAAATTTTCCCTCTTTTTATCAGGGCTTCCCCTCCCTGGCCCCCTTTATCTCCATCTCTTCTCGGCTTTTTTCCTCCACCACCTCGGCCCTCTCCGTCATTTCTTTCTTCATCCCGATCACTCCTTTCCTCTGAATCATCCCAACACCTTCTCCTTCCTTTCTCTTTCACCCTATCATGATACACAAACTCTTTCAAATGTCCTGCTCGAATCAACCTTTCAATCTCATCCTTCAAATACCGGCAGTTCTTCATGGTATGGCCGTAATCTCAGTGAAATCAACAATATATATCCGATCTGGGTCGAGTCGGGCCTGTGAACCTTGTCTTCGGCCATGTCACATCCTCGGTCGACATCTTCTGCTCCATAGCCTCGAGCACCTTTGTCATATCTTTCCTCAAGGGTGTAAAATTATGATACCTCTGTGTCTCGAACAGCAATGGCCTCCCCTGCCACCTATCGTCCCTCTTCTCTCGCTTCGAATCTCCACCTTCCCTTCTGGGTGATATCTTTTTCGACCTGCTCCTCTTGGGCGAACTTCTCCCGGTCGACCTCCCTCTTGTTGGGCTTTGCTCCTTCTTTGGCTCTGGTTCAACTTTGCGAACTCTACCTCCATTTTCTCCAAATTAATATACTTCCTTCAACGCTTCAAGACCTCCTCATATGATCGACCAGGGGTCTTTGCCAGGGAATTTCGACAAGGCCCTTCTCGAAGACTTCTTATCAATCCCCCGGCCTTCACCTCATCTGAGGCCGAGTGCACCTCCAAACACGTCTGACTGTATCGAGCAACATACCTCCTCAATGACTCGTTCTCCCCCTGTCTCATTGCCATCAACGTCAAATACGTTTTCTCATGCGCCACCGCACTCAAATATTGGTTGGTAAGCTTGCTGGCAAAATCCTCAAAATCCGCAATCGACCCAGAGGGTAACTGATGAAACCAGTCCAGTGCTCCTCCACGCAAGGTCGACAGAAACGCCCTGCAACAAACAGAATCAGAATATCCATGCAACACAGCCATATTCTCAAAGGTCCTCACATGCCTCGACGGGTTAGAAGACCCATCATACACCAAGTTGGTCTCCTTGAAATTATTCGGCAAGAGAGCAACGACAATCTCCCTTGAAAAGGGATATCCTCGAGCTCTCCTCTCTGGCCTCCCCTCTACCTTGTCCTGCAACTGGCGCAACTGCTCCGCCATCCTCTCCATCGCCCAATCTTTTCCAACTCCTCCCTCTCCATAACTGGACACATCCTCATCTTGGTTTCCGGACACTATGGTCGGTGCAGTGGTGGCATGAGATGTGTGGCTCGTAACTTGCTGCAACGCCTAGCGCCGCCGCGACCGCTGCTATCCTCTGCATCTCCTCCCGGGTCATCGTCACCATTTTCTGACCGAGATCTTGTACAACTGCCTGTGGTGGCGTTCCTCCCTGCGCCATCGCTCCTCTTTCCACCAATGTCGGATTCGGTGGCGGCGAAGGTGGCATCGCCACCGCGGCTACTGCGCGAGCTTCCTGGGCGCGACTGGATTTGGCGTCTTCTCCAGGGATCGCCGTCAACGATCCCACACCTTAGAGGATGGTGTAGGAGTGATCGGCATTTGCGAAAAGCCAGAGAAACCCGGAGGAGGGCCTTGTCCAATCGGCCTGGTCGTCGTTCAAGCATCGTCGAACGTCGACTGCAAGTTAGTCCTGGGAATTTCGTCCACCATAGCTGAGCTTCAAACACAACCTTTCGAACAAATCCCCACAGACGGCGCCAATAATGCAAGTGTGAGTGTCCTGGTCCGGTTTAGAATGGATCGATCTTTGTCCTCACCGGTGGAATGCCGAAAACCTGCAAATAACTCTCACACCGGGAGTTGTTTTCGGTAAAGAGCCTCCGATGCTTAGGTCGGTATGTGTATGAGTATACTGAAGTGAAGAATGAATAGAATGTGTTAAGGGAAAAATGCTCACCCCCTTTATATAGGGGTGAGATACCTGCCCTAATAGCTGTCCGGATAAGGATGGGCTGGCTACCCAAGCTGCCCGTTCGTATTCTGACACGCCGCGCACATGTCAGAGGTGGCGCAGGGCGTTTGGAGCTGTCAGATGTAGTTATCGCTGTCACCCGATATATATCGACACGTGTCCTCCTGCACATGGGGTGAATATTCTCCTAGAATTTAGTTGGAGTCTCTTACACGCGCCTATGACTAGGCCAATATATGGAGTGTTGAGTCCGCAATATACTTGACCTGCTAAGGCCAATAAGGTTGCTCGATTGTTGGTTTGGTCGAGAGATGGGTTGGTTGACTATTTGACCGGTCGACAAGTTATTGTTGCTCGATCTTCTCATTGCCTGACTTGATTCCTTCAAGATGTGACTCTCCGTCCGGTTCAGCAGACCGGTCCAGCTTGGGGTATATAATATCCTATATCAGGGCGATCCAGGTAATGTCTAATCATTGCATTCAGATACAAACGATTTTATATTACACTAACGTATTCTTGTGATCTTACGCAGAGATGCCCGTTATCCTCATGCCCAAGAGAAGGGTTCCTCTCAAGAGGAAATCCTCTCAAGGCTCAGCCTCCTAGCTATACGATTCAACAACGCCGCAACCCGACCTTTGGACCTCTTCCAAGGAGGTCGATGTGCACACTACTTCAATCGAGGGAGCCCTGATCGTTGATCAAGCTCGTCTTTCTTCCCTCAACCCACCGGTTGAGCCACAACAACAACAGCAAAAAGAACAACAACAACAACAACAACAACAACAACAAGAACAAGAACAAGAACAAGAACAAGAATAACCATAACCACAGCAACAACAAGAACCCCCCAACCACAACAACCTCCACAACCTGAAGAGCCACACCCAGCCTCTCCTCCTGCAGATTTGACTGGGCTAGTGAATGAGCTTTCAACTTCTTTCAATCCCAAGGCGACCGAGTGCTTGAAGGTAAGTTCCCACTTGTCGAAGAAAGTGGGAGGATGGGCAAACGTCTTCGACTTAAGGAGACCACAAGTGTCCCTCCTACTCCTCTCCCTTCACTGGTTAAGGCCAATGAGGAAGAACTATTAGCCCACCTGAGGGGCGCATTTTCTGCTGCTGATTTCCAAGCTAGCAGCTTCAATCAAAGGACTCGACGACATCGCCTTGCTTGATGGTTAGCGCAGGTATCCTTCATGATATATATTGTATATACTCCATCCTTCCATATGTTATTCTTTGTTTTTCTTCATGTACTAAATTATCTCCCTTGTGGTGAGCGTAGGTTCTGATCGAGATGGTTCTGTAGGTCAAACAGACCGTATCCAGTGCGGGCGACTCGAACCCCCTAGTCCAGCAGGGTGCTTGCATATTGCAAGAAAAAATAAAAAACCTCACCTACCGGCGCCAGGAACATTTCGACGCGCTGAAAGACCAGAAGCTGGAGTGTGAGGCGCTGAAAAAGCAAAAGCTGGAGTGCGATTAGAAGATTAAGGCCCTCAAGAGCACACTCGCAGCAAAAGAAGTTTCTCTCGGGCTAAAGAAGGCCACTCGAATACAAGAGAGGGTTGCTCAAGAGCTGGTGAAGAAGCGCCTAACTAATCTTGTTTCTCTCTGCGCTCGCCAAAAGGTGTGGTACACAAAGGTCGGGCAACACTTCTTGTAAGAGTATCGTGAACTAGTGGTGGCTGACTTATGCATTCACCACAATATCTGAAAGAAGTGCAGGACCTGGGTACTAACTATTTCCAATTTGCAATGACCAAAGCGGGAGAGCATGTGGCCGAGGACGACTTCGAGGAGCTTGACGTGGATGCCATATGATATGCCATGCCCAAAGTTCCTCAAGGCTTCCATGGTGACTCCGAGTTACCTCTCACTCGTGAGTGGTGGTCAGACGTCCTCGAGCATTACTTAGCTCGATCCAACGTTCTGAGGAAGCATTTCGCGCTGCCTGATAGTCTCACTCCTCCTGTCTCTATGCTGCAAGCTATGACAGAGTTGATCTGCCTTCGGCCATTGTCGGACATAGGGAAATCGACTTACTGCTCTAGCCAGCAAATCGAGCAACCGCCCGAAACTAACATCGACGTCGAGAAGACTTCTCAGAATCCCAATGCCCCTGCTCCTTGAAAATGTTGCAATTTTCCTTTTATATGAGGCTCGTATTTGCATTGCCCGCATTTTGCAGTGAATGAAATGAATTTCTTTTGTATTTGTCAATTCCAGTATTTTTGTGCCTTTGCTCCATTTTGTATTGTGTTATTATCAATCTTACGACTCTATTTCAAACCGTGCTTTTATTTTACATAAACCCTTAATGTTGTGCTCACCTTTAACCAGAATAAAGTTTTAATGTACCCATCACACACATGCCCACCTTCAAAGAGATGGTCGATATATGTGACCATCCAGCCTCAAGGCCTTAATCATAATTGATATTTTGCCTTTGAACACATACCCACCTTTAATGAGGTGGTCGATACATGCAACCATCCGGCCTCACGGCCTTAATTATGATAGGTTTTTCGCAACTGAACACATGCCAACCTTCAAAGAGGTGGTCGATACATGCCCCATCCAGCCTCACGGCCTTCATCATGATGGATTTTACACCTTTGAACACATGCCCACCTTCAAAGAAGTGGTTGATACATGTGAACATCCAGCCTCGCGGCCTTAATCATGATGGATTTTACGCCTTTGAACACATGCCCACCTTCAAAGAGGTGGTCGATACATGCGAACATCCGGCCTCGCGGCCTTAATCATGATGGATTTTACGCCTTTGAACACATGGCCACCTTCAAAGAGATGATCGATACATGCGACCATCGAGCCTCGCGATCTTAATCATGTTGGATTTTATGCCATTGAACACATGCCCACATTCAGAGAGGTGGTCGATATATGCGACCATCCAGCCTCGCGGCCTTATTCATGATGGACTTTTACGCCTTTCAACACATGCCACCTTCAAAGAGGTGGTCGATACATGCGACCATCCAGCCTTGCGGCCTTAATCCGGATGGATTTTACGCCTTCGAACACATGCCCACCTTCAAATAGGTGGTCGATACATACGACCATCCAGCCTCGTGGCCTTAATCATGATGGATTTTACGCCTTTGAACACATGCCCACCTTCGAAGAGGTGGTCGATACATGCGACTATCCAGCCTCGCGGCCTTAGTCGTGATAGGTTTCATGCCTTCGAACACATGCCCACCTTCAAAGAGGTGGTCGACACATGCGACCATCCAGCCTCGCGGCCTTAATCATGATAGATTTTAAGACTTTGAACACATGCCCACCTTCAAAGAGGTGGTCGATACATGTGACCATCCAGCCACGCGGCCTTAACCATGATAGATTTTACGCCTTTCAGCACATGTCCACCTTCAAAGAGGTGGTCGATACATGCAACCATCCAGCCTCGAGGCCTTAGTCGTGATGGATTTTACGCCTTTGAACACATGTCCACCTTCAAACAGGTGGTCGATACATGCGAGCATCCAGCCTCGTGGCCTTAGACATGATGAATTTTTTCTTCAAGTAACCTACCATTAAGGTTACGCCAAGTTCTCCAACTCTCGATAACTCAACAATCATAAGGTTTGAAAATGAGGTCTCATTAATATAAATAGGAAAGTAAATTACAACATCTTAAATCTTCTAGGAAAGTACAAGAAAAAAATTAAGCATAATACTTCTTCAAGTTAGCAACATTCCATGAGCTGAAGAGTGACCGTCCTTCTGCGTCCTTCAAGAGTATGCTCCTCTAGCATGAAATTTCTTGACCAATTATGATCCCTCCCAGTTTGGTTCCAGCTTCCCGACTTGCCTCAGCACGTCGACACTTTTCCAGACTAGATCGTCCACCTAGAATCTTCAAACTTTCACCTTCCTATCAAGTGTTGCCTGCATCATCTGCTATAGGCCTCAACCCTGATCGGAGCTCGCATTCGAAGTTCCTCAATTGTGTCCATAGCCAACGTCATTAGATTTTCATTTTGCTTCGCGATCATATGCGCTCGATCTCTGAGATTGCACCTTGACCTCGACCGGAAGCAATACCTCCATTCCATAAACCAGATTAATGGTGTATTCCCTTGTTATCGATCTCAGAGTGGTTCTATATGCCCAAAGTACTAAAGTGAGTTCATGGACCCACGTCCCCATCGCCTTCTCTAGTCTTGTATTTAGCCCATTCAGTATGATTCTATTGGTCACTTTGACTTGTCCATGAGCTTGTGGATGAGCTACCGAGGTAAAGTGTTGCTCAATCTTCATATCCTCGCACTATGCTTGAACCCATTTTCCATTGAA